TAGAGGAAAAACGGGTTCAGTCTGCTTTCCAACTAGTGCTGAGCGATAGTGCTTTTTGAGGTCAGTTCGGTAATAAAAAAATAATCAAGATTTTCGATTTCAATATTATTATTTTTTATAAAATGCACTATGCATTATGTGGGTTTAATGCTGTAACACAGAACAAAACAATTAATAAAAGTCCCATGATGGTAGTGGCTGCCCATTACTGCTTATCACTTATTAACCATAATTTATTCACGACATTTACATTTTACATTTACATTTTAGTCATTTAGCAGACGCTCTTATCCAGAGCGACTTAGTTAGTGAGTGCATACATTATTATTATTTTTTTTTTTTTTTCATACTGGCCCCCCGTGGGAATCGAACCCACAACCCTGGCGTTGCAAACGCCATGCTCTACCAACTGAGCTACATCCCTGCCGGCCATTCCCTCCCATACCCTGGACGACACTGGGCCAATTGTGCGCCGACCCATGGGTCTCCCAGTCGCGGCCGGCTACGACAGAGCCTGGATTCGAACCAGGATCTCTAGTGGCACAGCTAGCACTGCGATGCAGTGCCTTAGACCACTGCGCCACTCGGGAGAGTAAATTAACGACTTTACTTAAATAAAATATTTAAGTTGTGTTTATTACGTTTGTTTTATTTGATTACTTGATTTAATTCCAAGTCATCATCTCATATCTATAGAGCTGCTGCCTATGCTTTCTGACAAAATCACAATTTTAGTAGTTCTTTAAAGTAAATAAGGCATACATTTATGACTGCTGAATACCAACTATTAATCACTTACAGTGGGGAAAAAAAGTATTTAGTCAGCCACCAATTGTGCAAGTTCTCCCACTTAAAAAGATGAGAGAGGCCTGTAATTTTCATCATAGGTACACGTCAACTATGACAGACAAAATGAGGAAAAAATTTCCAGAAAATCACATTGTAGGATTTTTAATGAATTTATTTGCAAATTATGGTGGAAAATAAGTATTTGGTCAATAACAAAAGTTTCTTAATACTTTGTTATATGCCCTTTGTTGGCAATGACACAGGTCAAACGTTTTCTGTAAGTCTTCACAAGGTTTTCACACACTGTTGCTGGTATTTTGGCCCATTCCTCCATGCAGATCTCCTCTAGAGCAGTGATGTTTTGGGGCTGTCGCTGGGCAACACGGACTTTCAACTCCCTCCAAAGATTTTCTATGGGGTTGAGATCTGGACACTGGCTAGGCCACTCCAGGACCTTGAAATGCTTCTTACGAAGCCACTCCTTTGTTGCCCGGGCGGTGTGTTTGGGATCATTGTCACGTTTCATCTTCAATGCCCTTGCTGATGGAAGGAGGTTCACTCAAAATCTCACGATACATGGCCCCATTCATTCTTTCCTTTACACGGATCAGTCGTCCTGGTCCCTTTGCAGAAACACAGCCCCAAAGCATGATGTTTCCACCCCCATGCTTCACAGTAGGTATGGTGTTCTTTGGATGCAACTCAGCATACTTGTCCTCCAAACACGACGAGTTGAGTTTTTACCAAAAAGTTAAATTTTGGTTTCATCTGACCATATGACATTCTCCCAATCCTCTTCTGGATCATCCAAATGCACTCTAGCAAACTTCAGGCGGGCCTGGACATGTACTGGCTTAAGCAGGGGGACACGTCTGGCACTGCAGGATTTGAGTCCCTGGCGGCGTAGTGTGTTACTGATGGTAGGCTTTGTTACTTTGGTCCCAGCTCTCTGCAGGTCATTGACTAGGTCCCCCCGTGTGGTTCTGGGATTTTTGCTCACCGTTCTTGTGATCATTTTGACCCCACGGGGTGAGATCTTGCGTGGAGCCCCAGATCGAGGGAGATTATCAGTGGTCTTGTATGTCTTCCATTTCCTAATAATTGCTCCCACAGTTGATTTCTTCAAACCAAGCTGCTTACCTATTGCAGATTCAGTCTTCCCAGCCTGGTGCAGGTCTACAATTTTGTTTCTGGTGTCCTTTGACAGCTCTTTGGTCTTGGCCATAGTGGAGTTTGGAGTGTGACTGTTTGAGGTTGTGGACAGGTGTCTTTTATACTGATAACAAGTCCAAACAGGTGCCATTAATACAGGTAACGAGTGGAGGACAGAGGAGCCTCTTAAAGAAGAAGTTACAGGTCTGTGAGACTCAAAAATCTTGCTTGTTTGTAGGTGACCAAATACCTATTTTCCACCATAATTTGCAAATAAATTCATAAAAAATCTGACAATGTGATTTTCTGGATTTTCTTCCCTCAATTTGTCTGTCATAGTTGACGTGTAACTATGATGAGAATTACAGGCCTCTCTCATCTTTTTAAGTGGGAAAACTTGCACAATTTGTGGCTGACTAAATACTTTTTTTCCCCACTGTAGATAATGTTTTTTCAGGTATAAATAACTGTTCTTTATGTATCGCGCATTCTTCTGTCTCTTACGTAGCGGACATAAAAGAAACAGACCGGACACGTAGGTGTGCAATAGATTATGGTCATTGTACACTGAACAAAAATATAAATAACATGCAACAATTTCAAAGATTTTACTGAGTTACAGTTCATACAAGGAAATCAGTAAATTAATTAGGCCCTAATCTACGGATTTCACATCTGGTAATACAGATATGCATCTGTTGGTCACAGATACCTTTAAAAACAAATAGGGGCGTGGATCAGAAAACCAGTCAGTATCTGGTGTGACCACCATTTGCCTCATGCAGTGCTACATCTCCTTTGCATAGAGTTGATCAGGCTGTTGATTGTGGCCTGCGGAATGTTGCCCCACTCCTCTTCAATGGTTGTGCAAAGTTGCTGGATATTGGCGGGAACTGGAACACGCTGTCGTACACGTCGATCCAGAGCTTTGTACACTTTGCTTTACAGCTTTGTGTACAGATCCTTGCGACATGGGACCATGCATTATCATGTTGAAACGTGATGATGCCGGATGAATGGCACGACAATGGGCCTCAGGATCTCGTCATGGTATCTCTGTGCATTCAAATTGGCATCGATAAAATGCAACTGTGTTCGTTGTCTGTAGCTTACGCCTGCCTGCCAATACCATAACCCAACCGCCACCATGGGCCACTCTGTTCACAGTGTTGACATCAACAAACCGCTCGCACACACGACACCATACACACTGTCATCTGCCGGGTACAGTTGAAACTGAGATTCATTCATGAAGTGTATGAAAAATGTATGCACTCACTAAAAACTGTAAGTTGCTCCGCAGGTGAAGCCGGATGTGGAGTTCCTGGGCTGGCGTGGTTACACGTGGTCTGCAGTTGTGAGGCCGGTTGCACATACTGCCAAATTCTCTACAACGACGTCGGAGGCGGCTTATGGTAGAGAAATTAACATTCAATTCTCTAACAACAACTCTGGTGGACATTCCTGCAGTCAGCATGCCAATTGCACGCTCCCTCAAAACTTGAGACATCTGTGGCATTGTGTTGTGTAACAAAATTGCACATTTTAGAGTGGCCTTTTATTGTCCCCAGCACAAGGTGCACCTGTGTAATGATCATGCCACTTAATCAGCTTCTTGATATGCCACACCTGTCAGGTGGATGGATTATCTTGGCAAAGAAGAAATGATCACTAACAGGGATGTAAAGAAATGTGTGCACAAAATTTTAGAAGAAATAAGCTTTTTGTGCGTATGGAACATTTTAGTCTCATCTGACCAGAGTACCTTCTTTCATATGTTTGGGGAGTCTCCCACATGCCTTTTGGCGAACACCAAACGTGTTTGCTTATTTCTTTCTTTAAGCAATGGCTTTTTTCTGGCCACTCTTCCGTAAAGCCCAGCTCTGTGGCGTGTACAGCTTAATGTGGTTCTATGGACAGATACTCCAATCTCTACTGTGGAGCTATGCAGCTCCTTCAGGGTTATCTTTGGTCTCTTTGTTGCCTCTGATTAATGCCCTCCTTGCCTGGTCCGTGAGTTTTGGTGGACAGCCCTCTCTTGGCAGGTTTGTTGTGGTGCCATATTCTTTCCATTTTTTAATAATGGATTTAATGGTGCTCTGTGGGATGTTCAAAGTTTCTGATATTTTTTTATAACCCAACCCTGATCTGTACTTCTCCACAACTTTGTCCCTGACCCGTTTGGAGAGCTCCTTGGTCTTCATGGTGCCACTTGCTTAGTGGTGTTGCAGACTCTGGGGACTTTCAGAACAGGTGTATATATACTGAGATCATGTGACAGAACATGTGACACTTAAATAAAGTCCACCTGTGTGCAATCTGACTAATTATGTTACTTCTGAAGGTAATTGGTTGCACCAGATCTTATTTAGGGGCTTCATAGCAAAGGGGGTGAATACATATGCACTCACCACTTTTCCGTTATTTTTTTTTTTGAATTTGTTGAAACAAGTTATTTTTTTCATTTCACTCACCAATTTGGACTATTTTAGTGTATGTCCATTACATGAAATCCAAATAAATGTTAAATTTAAATTACAGGTTGTAATGCAACAATATAGGAAAAACACCAAGGGGGATGAATACTTTTGCAAGGCACTGTATCTCTAGAGAAACTGCAGCACAATGTGCGCATTGAGCTCACAGAAAGAAAAGAACAAAATGGAATTCAAATAATTGAACTGATGTTGGTGAATTAGTTTTTTAAAAACCGAAAAATAACCGACATTTCGGTTAATCGCTCAAATCAAGATTTGATTTGATTTTGATAGTAGCGTTTAAAATTTTATTTTTTACAAATGTTAGAATTTTTCATCAACTTTGACAGAGTATTTTGTGTAGATTGTTAAAAAAGACAATTAAACCCATTTTATTCCCACTTTGTAACCACAAAATGTGGAAAAGGTCAAGGGGTATGAATAGTTTCTCTAGGCATGTGCTGCAGAATTTTTTCTTCCATCAAGGTGTGCTACGGTTCCTAAAAGGTTGGGAACCACTGGGTTAGTGGCCCATTAGATGTGAGCAAAATCAGATTAACATTTTACAAGGAGACAAAGGAACAACAAACCAAGGTCAAGTGTATTATTAACATATCTACATTTAATACAGTTGGTTTTTGTTCAAGCTCTCCATACATCTTCAAACACCCAAATCGGTTTCATCAAGAAATAAAATCAGAAAACCACAACTAAACAGCCTGCACCCTCACCCCAACAAAACTTGCAGTTCACTAAATTCACATACATTTAGTTGAGGGGAAAGGGGACTTTTTGTAAACTAATTAAGAAAAACTGAGAAATATCTAAATGCAATCTGTCAATTTGTCAGATTTCCAAGCTCCTAGTCGAGGTACTGGAACATCGATTGTGGTGATTGTCCCCCTTCCAGCATTTCTAACCATAGGCCAGATCAAAATAAGGCAAGACACTTTCAAACTATAAAATTAGAAGGTAGATGATACTGAAAATATTGAGAATTTGACCAGCTTAGACGATTAAATGAAGTTGTTATAGACTTACATTTTTAAGTTGTGACTACCTACTACTACTACTACTACTACTACTACTACTACTACTACTACTACTACTACTACTACTACTACTACTACTACTACTACTACTACGTTGTAATAATGTAAGCATGTATGAAAGGGCTTTTCCAATATAATGTAATGGAGGGGGAAAACTATTCTTTGCGAAGCAGACCTGACTGCGTAGCCCTTTACACTCGTAACCGTAGACAGGTTGAAAATGGCAGATTTAGGCACTGATAAACACCTAAATGGGAAAATGCAGTGGTTATACAACGGGTGGGTCTAATCCTGATTGGTTTAAACCGCATTCCAGCCAGTGTCTATTCCACAAGTTACCACCGGCTAAATCTATGACGTTAAAATACCTATTTACTCTGTTCTACCTGATTGCACAATCCACTGTCTCATCAGCCCAGCCAGGCAATTTATAAACTTGATCTCCACTATAAAAAGCATCCAGACATTATCTCCCATTTCTTTTATACTAACATTTAGTTTTCATCAGCGGAGATTTGTATAAACCTTGCTGTCTGTCTCTCCGACATTTGCAACATTGTTTCAATATTCAAATTCTATCTCCAGCTGTCCCATAGTAATGTTGAACGTGTCGGGAGTCAGGATGAGAGACAGGCAGGCAGCTTTTCTCAGCTAGTCGAAATCACGAATCAGCATCATTTTTATGGATATATAAAAATAACTGTCAATAGAAAACAGGTAAAACGAAATGAAGTGCAGCTAGTTTGCCATCTTTACAGCTTCAGTTTGAAGTGATTGTGTTAGCTGTGTTGTTGGCTAACTCCTGGGTCGTGTCTCTGGCAACCAAACTGATGGAACGAACGACCAGCCGGCTTGGGTAGCAACCCTAGATTTGTGTCGGGACTATATCTTGTGGAAGGATGAAATAGTATGAATAAATTAATCAAAATATGTCAATCATTAATTGAATTTGTTGGTAACCCGTTGTATAAAAGTGAGAATGTGTTTGGAGGTTATATTGGCACATTTTGCCGGCACTCGACTTTGTCTCGGGGCTAACAGCACCCGTGCCAATATATCCTCTTAACACCGGCTTTTGAGGGCATTATCACTTAAACATGCTATACATGACGTCAGAGCTCTGGCTCTGCGCTTCGCAGCGCTGTATGGGTTTTGACTGACAGCTGTTCTTAACTTGAGCACTTCGCGCGACAAGAAGTTGCCCCCACCCCTCCCACTAATTGGCCAACATTTGCAATTTTTTTGCTGTTTTAGGGAAATGCTGTAATTTAAGAACACTATGTATTTTGAAAGATGACACATTGAGGATTATATTAAATACCACTGATGTCATACAAGCAAGCCAAACATGTGCACTTCACATTCCATATCATAAAACTCATGTCATATAGTGTCAACGTTTATGATCACTATGTTTGATGTACAGTTACAAGATTACATGTTTCATACCCTTGGTTATTCTGAACAGAATGAGACCGTCTGCCTATTGTGAAGAACATTTGCCACGGCACACACACATGAATGCACTCATGACTCCTTTCTATGTGCACCAAAATTATGATCGGTCTCTCTGAATTGCATTGTGAAAGCCTAACACTGTAATATCATATTTTATAAATTAGCTAGTCATGCTGGCAATAGAACAGGCTTTCAAATGATGCCCACCTGAGCCAGATTGAGATTTATAATGGGACCATTTTTGGTTTGTGTAAACTGTAATTGTGTGAGGGCGGGGATGCACGGTTGTGTTTCAAATAAAACTAAAACTGTGCTTGCTCTAGTTCCTCAACTGCACAGCTAGAAGAGCTAAAAAAGTGCATTGAAATTACTTAGGAACTGTGCACACGTTGGAGGTGTGTGGCCACAGACACCAGTGAGTCCTCTCACTCAAACCCTTGTCATTTGTTTGTCTTATGTTGTACCTACCCCACATTTATTCAGGAATATTCTTATCATGTTACTGAATTTATCCAGAGTATTTTCAGATTTCATTATCAACAAATGCAGCAAAAATAACAGTAAATGAAAAATTCACAAAATCAACAGTGGTATGTTTGGATTCAGTATTGTGTCAGGTAAACTGTTATGTCCTCACCTTTGGTCTAATAATTTTCCCATAATGTTAAAACTGTTCCCTTTCAATTCCTATTATGGCTATGCATATGCTTTTCATATTTATTCTGTAAGAAACATTTCAATTTAGCCATATCCATATAGGCCAATTGACACGAGTGTAAAGGGTTAACCTCAGCAGACCTCATGCTTAGCACTGTAGGGAGTCCATTGTCATGTCAATCACATACTGTTGTGGCAGGTGCCCTACTAGCCAATTGCCAAACACATTGTAAATGCGCACAGACGCATTGTTTTGTCTCTAAGAACAGCAAGTACAGCACAGTCTTTCAAAACATATTTCAAGAACTTCAAACCCACAAAGAAAGCAAAGATGACCTTCTCATACCATCAATATGCAGATATTATTTGAACCATTATAGAGTGAATAGAAAAGACCATGTAGTGTCTCTCTGCTTTCCACTGATTAACAGTCTATCATTCACATCTTACAACTCGTCATGAAATAAAATAGGTTTAATTTATTCACTCTCACTATAAAAGCGTACATTCAACACATTATAACTGCCCGCTATGTGGGACTGATATAATGCAATAGAGGTCAGTTGACCATCGGTCGGAACATTCTAGTTTGTATGACCTCATGTTATAACTCCCCAGCAAAGGCAAATGACTTGATAAATACTGATTTGGTTGGTCAGTTTCTTTCATAATCCATCTCACATTTGATATTGTCTTGCATAAAAAAATCCACACTAGATTGTTTGAAAACTAAACCAACGCTTTGGCATTGACCAGGACCACCAACACTGAATTGTAGGAAATAAGTAATTACGGTAGGTACAACTAACTATACTACTAACTCATAATTTTTTCAAAAATCAAAGTAAACAAAATAATACTGGAGTAAAGAGCAAGATAAAAGGCCAATATTTTCATAGTTTGGATAGATAGTTTCGATGTTATTTGAGAGGAGACTGGAAGCTTTACATTAGAGGGTTCTGAGTGCAGAGTGAAGTGTTCAGTGAGGATTGTGGCACTGAGAGAGAGAGAGAGGGAGAGAGAGAGAGAGAGAGAGAGAGAGGAAGAGACAGAGACAGAGTCAGGGAGAAAGAGCGAGACAGAGAGCGCTGGAGACAGGGAGAGCGAGAGAGACCTGAGAAACATGGCCCCCGATTCTGAGGGAGAGAGAGGACTATCAGAGGAAGGGAAGAGAGAGAAAGATTTAGAGAGACTGATTGGGAAGGAGAGAGGAATAACCTTGAGCTATGGCTGTCATTTGGCAGTCCAGAGTATGGCCCCCCTGTGTGTAAAGTGCATGTCCTGGAGGGAATCTGAATTCTGCCACGTCTTCTTTTTTTTTGTTTTTACACTTCTGGTGTGGGTCTCAGCTCTGGGCTGTGTGGGTATCTGAGCCATGGGGGGTTATGTGAGTTCAATAGTCCTCCACCCAACCGTTCTCCTGGATAAAGGCGTCGATGACCTCCTTCATGGCCAGGTTGGGGATCAACTGGTCCTGGGTCAGAGGACTCCGGGTGACCGGGTCAAAATGGCCCACTCGCTACAGAGGATGGAGGAAAAATGTTATGATTGTTTGAGGTATTGGTGTTGCTGTGAGAAGGTAGCTTTCATTATTATGATATTGTGTATTTCACTCATGATTTACAGTTTACGTTGGACAGTATTACCTCTGTGGATGAATGGATGGTAGTCTAGCAACTGCAGGTGTATTTATAGGTATATGAATAGATTATCATTTAGCAGTAAGTGATTGGTAGTTGGTAGTGTGGATGAATAGAACATAGAATGTAGGTGAGAGGATAGAACAGTATGTCTATGAATGGTCGACGGTTTACCTATACTTCTGTTGAGTAGAGGTCTATGTGTATGACCATGAAAGGATGGTATACAGTACCTGTAGGTGCTCCTCAATATCTTTGCGGTCGTAGGTGATCCCACTGGGGGTGATGCAGGGCTCCCTCATCAACTCAAAGCTGATCTTTCCACATAGGTAGTCAGGGATCTCCCGCTTCTGTGGGGTTCAGAACAATATACATACATGAAGATGATACATGTATGTACATCTAAATACTTCCCTCTAGACACCATCTATATCATATTCATTAGGTACCAAACGGAAGAAAACTGACTGAAACAGGGACGGACTACCTGAACTTGTCCAATAAGAAACTAGTGATGTGGGGGGGAAAAAAATCGATAGATATCGCAATATTATGTTTGGACGATATTATATTGATACTTTGAAACAAAGTATCGATTTGTAAAATTAAAATACACTTATTTTTTTGCTAGGTAGCATTAGCTAGCATTAGCTAGCACTAGTAGTCTGTACCTGCACCAAAACGCTGGTATTTTTCATCCTATACCTTGTTCTCCAGCTTCTTTTTAAATAGTGAGCCAACATGTTTTCAGCATGTTTTCCACGACTGATCAAAACTAAATTTCTCATGCTCTCATCTCTCTGCAGCAGACATATAGGGAGCAATATGTTTGGAACATCAAATTGCAATATCGAATGATAATAGGGTAAATCCATATGAATCCCTTTTGATTTAAACAAAAAACTTTCCATACATGTTTGTCCATGGAAGAAGTGTTCAGAAAGTTAGACTTTTTGGACCTAAATGCCAAAACATTTAGAAAATATAGGTGCTCAAAGTTCCCCCATTTTGCATCCTCCACCATACCATGAGACATCCATGTCTTTATTACTGGAAAATATAAGTTTGACATCATTTAAAATCTTACAAAACTACTTATTAATTTATTTTAAACAAATATTTGTATAACCTTTAACGTAAATTATCTAAAAACGTGTAAACTCCTGATTTCTTCCATCCTCGCATATGTTGTAGCTTAAACCCTATTTTACATCATCTGAAGTTGAGTCAACTTTTCACCATGTCTTGAATATTGAGGCATTCAATTCCAAAAAGTCACTGTGAGAACAATGGGCAAATACAATGAGTGTACAAAACATTAGGAACACCTGTTCTTTCCATTAAATAAACTGACCAGGTGAAAGCTATGATCCCTTATTGATGTTACCTGTTAAATTCACTTCAAATCAGTGTAGATGAAAGGGAGGAGACAGGTTAAAGAATATTTTTTAAGCCTTGAGACAATTGAGACATGGATTGTGTATGTGTGCCATTCAGAAGGTGAATGTGCAAAACAAAAGATTTAAGTGCCTTTGAACGGGGTATGGTAGTAGGTGCCAGGCACGCCGGTTTGAGTTTGTCAAGAATAGTAACGCTGCTGGGTTTGTCACGCTCAACAGTTTCCCGTGTGTATCAAGAATGGTCCACCACCCAAAGGACATCCAGCCAACTTGACACAACTGTGGGATGCTTGGAACGCTTTCGACACCTTGTAGAGTCCATGCCCCGACAAATGTATTTATTTAACCTTTATGTAACTCGGCAAGTCAGTAAAGAACAAATTCTTATTTACAATGACGGCCTACCAAAAGGCCTCCTGTGGGGACGGGGGCTGGGATAAAACATTTTTTTTTTTTTAGGACAACACACATCACGACAAGAGAGACACCACAACACTACATAAAGAGAGACCTAAGACAACACAGCATGCCAGCAACACAACATGCCAACAACACGGTAGCAACACGACATGGCAGCAGCACAAAACATGGTACAAACATTATTGGGCAGTCAACAGTACAAAGGGCAAGAAGGTAGAGACAATACATCATGCGAAGCAGCCACAAGTGTCAGTAATTGAGAATTGAGGTTGTTCTGAGGGCAAAAGTGGGCGCAACTCAATATTAGGAAGGTGTTCCTAATGTTTTTTATGGAAGGTTCCATTCAAATCAAAAGGGTTGCTGTCAAAAATGATCAATTCAAATGGATTTACCCAATACATATAGAATGGTGAGAATCCCAATTCATATTGTATCGGCATTTAAGTATCGTGATATCGTATCACGAGGTCCCTGGCAATTCCCAGCCCAATTAGAATTACTTATTTTCGTTTTCAATTGTAAAACGTTTTGTGGTGTGCCCTAATGAACAAAACCCAGTATAGCAGTTTGAAACACCAAATGTTGAGAGGCAAGACGATGACAATTACATGCACTAAATCAAAATTTTTACATTTACATTTTAGTCATTTAGCAGACGCTCTTATCCAGAGCGACTTACAGGTAGTGAGTGAATACATTTTCATACTGGCCCCCCGTGGGAACAACAATAAAACAATGTATAGGCCCCAAATAATCCTTCATAACAAGCCTTGACAGGCAACTTGAGGTGGTGGTTGCCATAGAAACGGCTTGGACTGGAAATAGGAGACGGAGGGGCTAGTCTATTTTGGTAACGATAACACTGGCACCTCTAATTGTCAAAGTAAGGTGGCGGGTCAAATCCAGCTGATCACAGAAACAGAGTGTGGACAGATTGTATACGTTTCTCAAAAATAATTTTTTTATATATAAAAAATAATGTCTTATATATTTTATAAATACATCTTAAGAATAAGATCGAATATGTATTGTTATTTCAGTAATGCATAGAGCTCTGTGTTGTGCTATATCTAACAATATTGAAAAATATGTAACATTCAGTGAAATGACCATTAGTCTGGATTGAAAGTTGCTTATAATAAAGTGCAATAGTAATGGCGTCTTTTTGTAGGCACTAACTCCGTCATGGCTCGTTGGCCAAAGCCTACTGGAAATTAATGTTTTTTTTTTGTAGGGTTTTTGTATAAATGCTGAAAATAAGGTCTGTGGTAAATACAGGCATAGGAGATCTTAAACATTTTGTTCTATGAGATAATCTTCAGCTTGCGTCACTTTTTGTGAATTTCGAAGTATGTATGTAATCAAAACAAGCACATAAAGGGTTCATAATTCATGTTCACTGACTGATAAGATCTTCTAAGCCTGTGTTAACCTCTGACCTTATTTTTGACGTTTATCCCAAAACCACATTCTTTCCCCATTAATTCCCCCATAGGAATGGCCGAACGAACCAAGTTAATGTCACATGCACAGTGAAATGCCTTTCTTGCAAACTCAAAACCCAACAATACAATAATCAATAACAACGTATTACTAGAAACACACACGAGAAATAAGAATAGGAAATATGAAATACACAAAGTAGGTAAGCAAGCATACTATATACAGGAAATATTTAAAAAGTCAGTTCCAATACCATATTTACATGTGCAGGGACTCTGAAGTGATGGAGGTAGATACACTACATGGCAAAAGGTATGAGGACACCTGCCCGTCGAACATCTCATTCCAAAATCATGGCCATTAATATGGAGTAGGTCCCCCTCCACTCGTCTGGGAAGGCTTTCCACTAGATGTCGGAACATTGCTGCGAGGGTCTTGCTTCCATTCAGCCACAAGACCATTAGTGAGGTCGGGCACTGATGTTGGGCGATTAGGCCTGGCTCGCAGTCAGCATTCCAATTAATCCCAAAGGTGTTCGATGGGGTTGAGGTCAGGGCTCTGTGCAGGCCAATCAAGTTATTCACACCGATCGACAAACCATTTCTGTATGGACCTCGCTTTGTGCACGGGGGCATTGTCATGCTGAAACAGGAAAGGGCCTTCCCCAAACTGTTGCCACAAAGTCAGAAGCAAATAATCGTCTAGAATGTCATTGTATGCTGTAGCGTTAAGATTTCCCTTCACTGGAACTAAGGGGCCTAGCCCGACCAATGAAAAACAGCCCCAGACCATTATTCCTCCTCCACCAAACGTTACAGTTGGCACTATGCATTGGGGCAGGCAGCATTCTCCTGGCATCCGCCAAACTCAGATTTGTCTGTCAGACTGCCAGATGGTGAAGCGTGATTCATCACTCCAGAGAACGCGTTTCCACTGCTCCAGAGTCCAATGGCGGCGAGCTTTACACCACTCCAGCCAAAACTTGGCATTGCGCATGGTGATCTTAGGCTTATGCGCGGCTGCTCGGCAATGGAAACCAACTTCATGAAGCTCCCAACGAACAGTTCTTGTGCTGACATTGCTTCCAGAGACAGTTTGGAACTCGGTAGTGAGTGTTGCAACCGAGGAACGTATTTTTAAGCGCTACGCGCTTCAGCATTCGCCGTTCCCATTCTGTGAGCTTGTGTGGCCTACCACTTTGCGGCTGAGCCGTTGTTGCTCCTCGACGTTTCCACTTCACAATAACAGCACTTACAGTTGACCGGGGCATCTCTAGCAGGGCAGAAATTTGACGAACTGCCACATTGAAAGTCACTGAGCTCTTCGGTACGGGCCATTCTACTGCCAATGTTTGTCTATGGAGATTGCATGGCTGTGTGCTCGATTTTATACACCTGTCAGCAACGGGTTTGCCTGAAATAGCCTAATCCACTAATTTGAAGGGGTGTCAACCTACATTTGGCCATGTAGTGTATTAATAGGGGTAAGGGGACTAGGCAACAGGATATAAACAGAGTAGCAGCAGCTTGTATGTGAGTGGGTGTGCAGAGTCAGTATAAATGTATATGTGCATATTATGTGTGAGTGAGAAAATGTTGGAGTGAGTGTTTGTGTGTGCGTGTGTGTGTGTGTGTGTTGGAGTAAAGGTGTGTGAGTGTGTAGGGCCCTGTAAGTGTGCATAGAGAGTTTGAAATAAAAGGTAAATAAAGATACAAGGTTAATTCAGATAGTCCTTGTAGCTATTTTGTTAGCTATTTATCAGTCGTATTGCTTGGGGATAGAAGCTGTTCAAGAGCCTGTTGGTGTCAGACTTGATGCACTGGTACATCTTGCCGTGCAGCAACAGAGAAAATAGTCTATGGCCTGGGTGGTTGGAGTCTTTGACGATATTCTGGGCCTTCTTTTCACACCGCCTGATATAGAGGTCCTGGATGGCAGGGAGCTCGGCCCCAGTGATGTACTGGGCTGTCTGCACAACCCTCTGTAGTGCCATGCGATGGAGGGCGGTGCTATTGCCATACCAAGCGGTGATGCAGCCAATCAATATGCTCTTAAGGGTACAGCTTTTGAGGATTTGAGGGCCAATGCCAAACTTATTCAACCTCTTGAGGGCGAAGAGGCATTGTCGCGCCTTCTTCACGACTGTGTGTTTGGACCATTTTAAGTCTTTAGTAATTTGGACACCGAGGAACTTGAAGCTGTCTACCTGCTCCACTGCCGCCCTGTCGATGTGGATGGGGGTGTGCTAGCCCCCCCCCACCCTTTCCTGTAGTCCACAATCAGCTCCTTGGTCTTGCTGACGTTGAGGGAGAGGTTGTTGCTCCAGCACCACACTGCCAGGTCACTGACCTCCTTCCTGTAGGCGGACTCATCATCGCCGGTGATCAGGCTTACCACCGTCGTGTCGTCAGTGAACTTGGTGTTGGAGTTGAGCGTGGCCACACAGTCATAGGTGAACAGGGCGTACAGGAGGGGACTAAGTACACACCCCTGTGGGGCCCCTGTGTTACGGGTCAGCGTTGGCCTCGAAGTGCGAGATATCACTCAATCCTCTGGGTCGGTGACGGCCCTCACACATGGCTCGATGTTGTTGTCAAAGCGTGCATAAAATGCATTGAGTTTGTCTGCTAGAGAGGCATCGTTGGGCAGATCACGGTTGGGTCTTCCTTTGTAATCCGTAATGACTATAGCCCCTTCCACATGCGGCAGGCGTCGGAGCTTGTGTAATATGATTCCACCTTATTCCTAGATTGTCCTTTTGCTCATTTGATGACTCTGCAGAGGTCTTCTTGTACTTATTCCTGTCTTCAGCCGTAGCATCATGGTGGGCCACGATAGCTCTGTTTTCGGTAGCCCTGTTCTTTAGTTTAGCGCCAACCTCTGCGTTAATCCAGGGCTTTTGATTGGCGAAACCTCACCGTGGGTACAACGTCGCCGATGCATACAGGTGGTTAGCTCGTCAATGTTATTGGTGGATTCTCTAAACATATTACAATTAGCACTAGCAAAGCAGTCCTGTAGCATAACCTCTGATTCTGGCGACCATTTCTCAATGGAGCGAATCACAGGTACTTCCTGTTTCAGCTTCTGCGGATTCATGATCATATTTGCCGCATGGCAATGGAAGGCCTTGTACGCTTGCTTGTGGGTAGAATAGCAGTGGTCTAGGACTTTATTGCCCCTAGTGGCGTTGGAGACGTGTTGATGGAAGTTGGGCATTACGTGTCTTAGTGACTACAAATTAAAATTGTCTGCAACCAGAAAGGCAGTTTCTGGGTGTAGGTTTTCCTGCTTGTTTATAGTCTTGTACAGTTTGTTAAGCGCCAGCTTGTTATTTTTATTGTCCTGAGGTGGAATGAATACATCAGTCACGATAACAGCTGAAAACTCCCTCAGGAGGTAGAAGGGTCGGCATTTGACCATCAGGTACTCTAAGACAGGTGAACAGTGGGTTGACACTTCCACCGCGCTGGAATTAGCACACCAGAGGTAACCCATTTCCATTTTTTAGGACTACAAGCTGGCGAGCTCTATAGCAGTAAATGGTGTGTTCAGCTAAATAAAATGTATCATCACTCACTTTTCTCTTCTCGTCCACTTGTGAAAAGAGCTCATCCATGTCCATAAGGAACTTGTCCTATTTAGGAAAAGAGCAGAGAGTTGGTGAGGCTATCACAGAGCATTAATACAAATACCCCTCAATATCAATGGGATATTGAGAAATAGGCTATATGATGGCAATTCAGTTACACAACGCCAGTGCTCAAATACTTAAGGCGAGTGGTCCCTGAATATAGACATAGGAGAATATAGACATAACCCACATGTTTTGATTTGATCTTGACGACATCACCTCCACTCTGATTGTCCTCCTCTTTGTTTTCCCGGCAATCCTCCACTTCCCTGAGAAAATATGAAGATGTACATTCAACAATAGGGCTGTGACAATCATGGAATTTTGGGTTACGGTTATTTGTCAGGCAAATGTCCATGGTCACCGTTATAAACAGAAAAATTAAAGGCACACTTCTCGTCTCAACCCTGTCTGCTGCGCTCAGGGGGGGACGACTACCCCCTCTCATTGAAGCCACGGAAGCTCAAGGCCGACCGCGGTACTGCAGGCATTGTTAGCAGAAATCAGAATCCCCATTATAGTGAATGGAAAAATATCAATCTTCATGCAAAAAATACATACAAATGTTTATAAGACAATCATGGTACAAATAATTGCTCTTAATACAACAAAGGTATGTCCTTCAACCAATTATTTTAAAATCGCACAAAGAAGAATTAAAGATTATTTAGGTGCAGTACCATGGTCTGCCTTCAATTTGAGATTCTCAATGAGAGGGGGCAGCATTGGGCTAGCCTGCAAAGTCACTTCCTGGAGTAGCTCAAACTGCAAATGTTATGTCTCCATGAGATGCAATCTGAACCAACTTCACTTGGCTTCAATGCGCTATTGAGTCTTCACATAGGAATGAATGGTGTCACCATCGAGAGCATCCTGACAGGTTGCATCACCGCCTCGGCCTTCGACCGCAAGGCGCTACAGAGGGTAGTGTCTACGGCCCAGTACATCACAGGCGGTGTCAGAGGAAGGCCCTTAAAATTGTCAAAGATTCCAGCCACCCTAGTCAGACTGTTCTCTCTGCTACCGCACGGCAAGCGTTACCAGAGTGCCAAGTCTAGGTCCAAAAGGCTCCTTAACAGCTTCTACCCACAAGCCATAAGATTGCTGAACAATTAATCAAATGGCTACCCGGACTATTTGCATTGACCCCCCCGCCCGCTGCTACTCAATGTTTATTATCTATGCATAGTCACTTTACCCCTACCTACATGTACATATTACCTCGACTAACCTGTACCCCCGCACATTGACTCGGTACCGGTACCCCCTGTACATAGCCACGTTATTGATATTTTATTGTGTTACTTTTTTAACTTCAGTTTATTTAGTAAATATGTTCTTAACTCTTATTTTTCTTAAAACTGCATTGTTGGTTACGGGCTTGTTGTAGTCGGCGCATTTGACAAATCAAATTTGATCTGTGATCAATGGACTGTCCATGCATATATACAGTTATTAGCTGCAAGGAAGCACCACAGAGTTTCTAAAGCCAGTGGCGCAACATCGCGAGACTTGCGGGAAGGCTTGCGAAACAGACCAGGCCGGGGTTTGAAAATTCAATGCGAGAAGTTAACATGTTTCCTTAGATGTTAATTTTCTCGAAATCTAAAAAGGCGCAGCCTAGACTCAAGCCAATGTCTAAAATAGTTGAACATGTTATTAGTCCAACCTCGTGAAAGTGACAAACTGACATGATTTAATTTTAGTCAAAAACAACTTCACATCGAAGGAGTGCCTTTGATTTGACGGCCTGAACATGCGCAGTTCGGTGCAAGACTACCATTAGAAACACGTCATCGTGTCTACGCATAAGCTTAGCTATCCATTGCATACAAGTGTGATCAGGGATTTCTATTGGAGAAGCAGGTTTAGCCTATCTTCACACTGTACCATCTTTGGCACCAAACCGCAGTAAACAAGTCTATCACACAGTGGTCATGCAGTTGCAGTGTGCAGCTGTTGCACACATACAATATATTATATTTACTAGCCTAGCATGGATTTCAACTTTGGTTTTCATCACTTTGTCTCAGACTCACATTCACTTACAGTGGGGAGAACAAGTATTTGATACACTGCCGATTTTGCAGGTTTTCCTACTTACAAAGCATGTAGAGGTCTGTAATTTTGAACTCGTTACGTGTATAAAAGACACCTGTCCACACACTCAAACAAACAGACTCCAACCTCTCCACAATGGCCAAGACCATAGAGCTGTGTAAGGACATCAAGGATAAAATTGTAGACCTGCACAAGGCTGGGATGGGCTACAGGACAATAGGCAAGCAGCTTGGTGAGAAGGCAACAACCATTTATTAGAAAATGGAAGAAGTTCAAGATGACGGTCAATCACCCTCGGTCTGGGGCTCCATGCAAGATCTCACCTCGTGGGGCATCAATGATCATGAGGAAGGTGAGGGATCAGCCCAGCACTACACGGCAGGACCTGGTCAATGACCTGAAGAGAGCTGGGACCACAGTCTCAAAGAAAAGCATTAGTAACACACTACGCCGTCATGGATTAAAATCCTGCAGCGCACGCAAGGTCCCCCTGCTCAAGCCAGCGCATGTCCAGGGCCGTCTGAAGTTTGCCAATGACCATCTGGATGATCCAGAGGAGGAATGGGAGTAATGTGGTCTGATGAGACAAAAATAGAGCTTTTTGGTCTAAACTCCACTCGCCGTGTTTGGAGGAAGAAGAAGGATGATACAACCCCAATAACACCATCCAACCGTGAAGCATGGAGGTGGAAACATAATTCTTTGGGGATGCTTTTCTGCAAAGGGGACAGGACGACTGCACCGTATTGAGGGGAGGATGGATGGGGCCATGTATCGCGAGATCTTGGCCAACAACCTCCATCCCTCAGTAACAGCATTGAAGATGGGTCGTGGCTGGGTCTTCCAGCATGACAACAACCCGAAACACACAGCCAGGGCAACTAAGGAGTGGCTCCGTAAGAAGCATCTCAAGGTCCTGGAGTGGCCTAGCCAGTCTCCAGACCTGAACCCAATAGAAAATCTTTGGAGGGAGCTGAAAGTCCGTATTGCCCAGCGACAGCCCCGAAACCTGAAGGATCCCTGCTGCAGTGTGTGCAAACCTGGTCAAGACCTACAGGAAACGTATGATCTCTGTAATTGCAAACAAAGGTTTCTGTACCAAATATTAAGTTCTGCTTTTCTGATGTATCAAATACTTATGTCATGCAATAAAATGCAAATTAATTACTTAAAAATCATACAATGTGATTTTTTGGACTTTTGTTTTAGATTCCGTCTCTCACAGTTGAAGTGTACCTATCATAAAAATTACAGACCTCTACATGCTTTGTAAGTAGGAAAACCTGCAAAAATCGGCAGTGTATCAAATACTTGTTCTCCCCACTGTATAAATGTCCACACTCAACAAGAATGACATTTGGTAGTTAATTTCAGCAGAGATGGTGGCTTTTAGCATAGTTTTTTCATCTTTACAAACCGGACAAAACGTATAGCCAGAGCACTATGCATAAGGTAGTACAGATAGATCATGTTACAACAACATTGTTTATAATAATCATTCATTTACACTACTGTTATCATATATTTACTTAAAAATACAATAAAATGAACGTCAGAACGGTTATTTTATTAATGGTCTTCATCAATAATCGTCGGTTACACAGTTTTATACAATTACCGTTCCAGCCCTATTGAACAAAAGAGAAAATGCAACGGCAGATTGTAATGCATTAACCAGATTCATTCCTAGAACCAGACTCATTCCCAAGATTTGCATCAACATCTCAACAGTTGTATTCTCACTAGGGCTGACCCCATTTAGTCGACTTGGACAATCAACAGTATTTTTTTAGGCGAGCAGTAGCAAATATATATATTTTTTTAATGGCACACGAGACACCAGCCTGATTCGTGACTGTCTCAGTGGACTAATCCATTGCGGAGGCAGCGGGGATGGCACAATACAAGAAGAAGGGGAGTGTGGCTAAGATGCACATCTCTCTCCAGAATGCATTCTCTCCCGCCAATTCATGCACGTTCATTGTTTCATAACTTCATTGTGTGAATTGTTTGCCCTTGGATTGTTAGTGTCTATCAATTCCCCATGACATATCACCAGTAGTACATTTACTGTTAATTCCCATAATTTCTCATCTAAAATGTTTGTTTGATTACGGTAATTTCCGGGAATGCATTCAATATATTATTATTGCAGTCTTATACCGTTCTCATTGTCGGAGTGGACACATTGTTTGCAGAGCGCACAACCTATGCTACACCTGTGAGAAACAAGTGTTGGTTTATTTCATTCCCTTTACGAGTTTTGTCAATTTATTCATTGTCTTTTGTTTGGAGCGCTCCTGTCAATGATGAGTAAGGACGGGAACCTGATTACGCATAGAAGTAGGCCTAGGCTATGAATGTGCCCATTTGGGGATCTGATAGTATTTCTGATTGTCTTAACACCACTGAGCTGTGGAGCTTCTCAAAGTAATGTTTCTTCACCTCTAACAGTAAGTCAACAAAGTCTGAGAATAGTTCCGCAATGTATTTGAAAAATCTTTCCAGCTCTCTGCCTTTTGATAACCACTTGGTGTGAAAGGGAGTGGGAGGAGGATGGTCGGATACAGGTTTTCTGGCTATCTTGATCTGAGTCATGTGTCTTATTTCATCAAAGTGTGCTTTAAGCGTCAGACAAGCTCAATGCATATAGTTGATTTTATTAAAACACATAGTGTGTCTATATATGGAAAAATACACGTTTTTAAATTTCGAGCATCGATTGGTCGAAAGGACATACTTTTTTTTTTTGTCGGGGACAGCCCTAATTATCACACATGATTATTAATGTGTAGCAACTCATTTAATTTCATACAAGGGGGTTCTGGCAATGAACTCGTATGCAATGAACTCTTATGCAATGAACTCGAATGCTTCTCTAAAGGAATAGGAATATCAGTGCAGACGTTTTGCTCATACAAAAGTATCAACCCAAAAGCCTAGCTCCCGGTCCCTCCCTCACCTCTCCTTCTCTGCCAGGATAAGTTTGGTGAGATAGGCGTGCAGCTCGTTCTCCTGGTTGATGCGCTTCTCCTCAATGCCATTCCAGCGCTTCTTCTTGGCGACCCGCAGGGCACTTGGGATGTCGTCTCCAAAGTTCAGCCTCTGCTCCTTGGCCAGGTTGTAAGCTGCCGACAGAACGGGTCCAGACATCAATGTTGTCCATTGAAAGTAAGAGCATAAAACAGTAATGCTGCCTCTTTTCTATCTACAGATCTTAAACATTATACAAGAGAACATTGTAGTTACACTACATCATTCAAAACAATTGCAGTTTAGTACCATATCCTCACAGAGTTGCCTAGTACTGGGTATAGTTCGAATGTGGCAGATAGCATTCTAAATTGCACTCAACCCACTACTGCAAATCTTCAGTGCATTCGGTAAGTATTCAGACCCCTTCACTTAGTACACATTTTGATACGTTACAACCTTATTCTAAAATGTATTAATTCATTTTTTTTTCTCAATCTACACACAAGACCCCATAATGAAAATGCAAAAACAGGCTTTTAGAAATGTTTGCTAATGTATTATAAAAAACTAAAACAGAAATACATTATTTACATAAGCACTCAGACCCTTTGATATGAGACTTGAAATTGAGCTCAGTTGCATCCTGTTTCTATTGATCATCCTTGAGATGTTTCTACAACTTGATTGGAGTCCACCTATGGTAAATTCAATTGATTGGACATGATTTAGAAAGGCACACACCTGTCTATATAAGGTCCCACAGTGCATGTCAGAGCAAAAACCAAGTCATGAAGTCGAAGGACTTGTCTCTAGAGCGCCGAGACAGGATTGTGTCGAGGCACAGATCTGGGGAAGGGTACCAAAACATTTATGCAGCATTGAAGGTCCCCAAGAACAGTGGCCTCCATCATTCTTAAATGGAACAAGTTTGGAACCACCAAGACTCTTCCTAGAGCTGGCCGCCATGCCAAACTGAGCAATCGGGGGAGAATGGCCTTGGTCAGGGAGGTAACCAACAACCCGATGGTCACTCTGACAGAGCTCTGGAGTTCCTCTGTGGAGATGGGAGAACATTCCAGAAGGACAACCATCTCTGCAGCACTCCACCAATCAGGCCTTTATGGTAGTGACCAGACGGAAGCCACTAATCAGTAAAAGGCACATGACAGCCCGCTTGGAGTTTGCCAAAAGGCACCTAAAGACTCTCAGACCATGAGAAACAAGATACTCTGGTCTGATGAAACCAACATTGAACTCTTTGGAAGCATGGTGATGGCAACATCATGCTGTGGAGATGTTTATCAGCAGCAGGGACTGTGAGACTAGTCAGGATCGAGGGAAAGATGAACAGAGCAAAGTACAGAGAGATCCTTGATGAAAACCTGATCCAGAGCACTCAGGACCTCAGACTGGGGCGAAGGTTCACCTTCCAACAGGACAACGACCCTAAGCACACAGCCAAGACAATTCAGGAGTGGCTTCGGGACAAGTCTCTGAATGTCCTTGAGTGGCCCAGCCAGAGCCCGGACTTGAACCCGATCTAACATCTCTGGAGAGACCTGAAAACAGCGACACTCCCCATCCAACCTGACAGAGCTTGACAGGATCTGCAGAGAAGAATGCAGGGGTGCCAAGCTTGTAGCGTCATACCCAAGAAGACTCAAGGCTGTAATCGCTGCCAAAGGTGCTTCAACAAAGTATTGAGTAAAGGGTCTGAATACTTACGTAAATGTGACAGCAGTTATTTATTTTTGTACGTTTGCAAAAAAAATCTAAAATTCAGTTTTTGTTTTGTCATTATGGGGTATTGTGTTGATTGATGAGGAAAAAATGTTTTTTTTTAAAATCCATTTTAGAATAAGGCTGTAATGTAACAAAATGTGGAAAAGGTGATGTGGTCTGAATACTTTCCGAATGCACTGTACATTGTGGGGGGCATTAAGTGTTTACCTGAATACTGAGGAAGGCATACAAAAACTGTCCATATAAATGTATTCATTATACACTGGGACACTTTGGGCACGATTCCGACCAGAGTTAAGCGCACGTAATTGGAACGTAATTCCTTTTCTTTTCTCTCCATGTATATTCTGACGAATTTAAGCATGAGAACAGCGTGCTATTCACCTACTATTCATTTTGGGTGGAGATCGAATAAATGACTGTGTGGCGGAGGTGTCTAACGATTTGCCGTATTCGGACCTTGCCTTAATTCTATAATAATTCCACCACCTTTACGCACGAGGAAACCATGAATAAGGTTTAGCGAACATACCGGCTCCAAGTGGAAAAAGCATTACTTTATTTTTCCCGATTGAAATAACACCATTGTCCATGCACTGTAATTTATAGCTTGATAAAAGCTATTAATAAGAGTTATGTAACTTAGTAAACTTTTTGGATGAGGAACTTGTAAATATAAATGACATTAGTTTTAGAAATATTTGACCTTATAATTGCTGGAGACAAAAGTGAAGCAAGTCATTTGGCAGAAAACTAAAGCATATCAACTTTCCTACAGTAAAGTTTGTGCCATCATGCATAATTTCAATTGTACAGCCTTTTAACTTGCAGGGATGGGAACTCTTGAATGTCTTAATTATAGGCTACTCCGACTTTCTCTATCTCCTATTTCTGTCATGTTAAATATTAACCACTATGAGTATCGACCGTCAGTTGGCTTAATAATAACACATATTCAACTGCCAATTTACTATTAGTTCCCTTCAGTTGGTAAACCTACATTATCATTCCATTTAATTACATTGTTTCGTTTACTTTCATTTGCTTCCTCTGTAAACGCCGTCACGGCCATGTGGTTGTTGCTAAGGTTCATTAGTACCAGTTGACAATATATACAGTTGAAATCGGTAGCTTACATACACTTAGGTTGGAGTCATTAAAACTCATTTTTCAACCACTCCACACATTTCTTGTTAACAAACTGTAGTTTTGGCAAGTTGGTTAGGACATCTACTTTGTGCATGACAAGTAATTTTTCCAACAATTGTTTACAGACAGATTATTTCACTGTATCACAATTCCAGTGGGTCAGAAGTTTACATACACTAAGTTGACTGTGCCTTTAAACAGCTTAGAAAATTCCAGAAAATGATGTCATGGCTTTAGAAGCTTCTGATAGGCTATTTGACATTGTTTGAGTCAATTGGAGGTGTACCTGTGGATGTATTTCAAGGCCTACCTTCAAACTCAGTGCCAATTTGCTTGACATGGGAAAATCAAAAGAAATCAGCCAAGACCTCAGAAAACAATTGTAGACCTCCACAAGTCTGGTTCATCCTTGGGAGCAATTTCCAAATGCCTGAAGGTACCACGTTCATCTGTACAAACAATAGTACACAAGTATAAACACCATGGGACCACGCAGCCGTTATACCGCTAGAGATTAATGTACTTTGGTGCGAAAAGTGCAAATCAATCCCAGAACAACAGCAAAGGACCCTGTGAAGATGCTGGAGGAAACAGGTACAAAAGTATCTATATCCACAGTAAAACGAGTCCTATATCGACATAACCTGACAGGCCGCTCAGCAAGGAAGAAGCCACTGCTCCAAAACCGCCATAAAAAAGCCAGACTATGGTTTGCAACTGCACATGGGGACAAAGATCGTACTTTTTGGAGAAATGTCCTCTGGTCTGATGAAACAAAAATAGAACTGTTTGGCCATAATGACCATCGTTATGTTTGGAGGAAAAAGGGGTAGGCTTGCAAGCTGAAGAACACCATCCCAACCGTGAAGCACGGGCGTGGCAGCATCATGCTGTGGGGGTGCTTTGCTGCAGGAGGTACTAGTGCACTTCACAAAATAGATGGCATCATGAGGAAGGAAAATTATGTGGATATATTGAAGCAACATCTCAAGACATCAGTGAGGAAGTTAAAGCTTGGTCGCAAATGGGTCTTCCAAATGGACAATGACCTCAAGCATACTTCCAAAGTTGTGGCAAAATGCCTTAAGGACAACAAAGTCAAGGTATTGTAGTGGCCATCACAAAGCCCTGACCTCAATCCTATAGAACATTTGTGGGCAGAACTGAAAAGGTGTGTGCGAGCAAGGAGGCCTACAAACCTGACTCAGTTACACGAGCTCTGTCAGGAGGAATGGGACAAAATTCACCCAACTTATTGTGGGAAGCTTGTGGAAGGCTACCCGAAACGTTTGACCCAAGTTAAACAATTTAAAGGCAATGCTAAAAAAATACTAATTGAGTGTATGTAAACTTCTGACCCACTGGGAATGTGATGAAATAAATAAAAGCTGAAATAAATAATTCTCTCTACTATTATTCTGACATTTCACATTCTTAAAATAAAGTGGTTATTCTAACTGACCTAAGACAGGGAATTTTTTACTAGGATTAAATGTCAGGAATTGTGAAAAACTGAGTTTAAATGTATTTGGCTAAGGTGTATGTAAACTTCAACTGTATATTTTTTAAATGCTAATTAAATCGTTATGGAGCGGAGCACAGACCAAGACATAGCAGTTTGAACCCGACGCATGGCGCAATACTTGGCTGTGTCATCACCTAGTTCCATGGTTAGTGCAGGCAATAGACGAGGGTCTAGCTATTGTACACTATTCTCTCTATTATAATGATCTATGTACACGACTCTTCCAACATTACCACAGGTTAAAGAACTGAATGTGGCAATTTTCAGAATGAATCAAATTACAGTTCTTTCTTTTGTGCATAAAGGCTCTCCATAAATACTTTCCTGACCCTAAAAAAATCTACAAGATCAGAGTATTTTAAAATCTACCAATTGGTGCTGAAACAGAGACGAATATGTATATATTTAGATGGCTTTCTTTAATTGATCCCTAATATTCTGAACCGTTCTCTCTATATATTCTATTGAGTCTGTCGACAAAAATACAAACTTAAAAGGTACACTGTATTTAAAGGGATGACTTAAGACAAATGTACTGAAAACCCTATTGAATGAAAACTCCATGAGAAAATCTGTTGGCCTGCCAGTGGGAAGGTTTTCAGCGGTTCAATTACACTTATATGGCGCGCGCAAGCGAACCACGCCTGCAAAGCCGTTACGCAACTTAAGGTTAGTCTGAATACCAACTACTGAGAAGTGCATAGGAAAGGCCTGCCTAAGAAAGGCGTCATTTCCTAAATCGGACCCTTAGTGAATACAGGCCCAAACTTAATCTGTGTCTACGAAACTGGCCCAGAGGGTTGGTCCTGACCTCTCTGCAGGTTGCCGATGGCCTCGTCGTAGTTCTCCAGCTCCAGGTGACACTGGCCCAGGAAGAAGTGGGCCTTGACCGACTGGGGGTCCAGTTCCAGCGCGTGCTTGCAGTCCGCCAGGGCTTTGTCGTGCTGCTGCAGCTTCACGTGGCACAGAGCCCGGTTGGTGTAGTACACCGCCACTGACGGGTTCCGGTTCTGTTGGCAGGATATATAAACACACAGGCGCAACCACGCACATGTTAGGCCTACATATTGTACAAGCTACTGTTGGAAGGGTGCATTAGGCCAAGCTACTTCTATTCGGACATCAGTCTATTCACAGTAGGTTAATAAGACAGTGTCAAGATCTCAAGTCATATAGCCGTTCAAAGCCATCTGAAATGGTGTAGCCATTTTACATCATCACTCCCATTAAGAGCAGCAGCTCGCTACTCACTATGGCTTTGCTGTAGCAGGTGGCAGCTTCCTGGTACTTGCGGCAGAGGAACAGCCGGTTGCCCTGCTCCTTCAGCTCCTGTGCTGTGGAACTCTTCTCTGGGCTGCCAGCCATCTTCTCTGGTGGCTCCTCGGCGCCCGCTGCGCGCTGTTTCCCTATCCTGTTCCCCGTCTCTCCGGCTGGCTAGCTTTCAGGTGAAAGAATGTACCTGTTTTTTGTCTTCTCAGCAACTAGAAAAGAAAGATAGGCAGCATCAGCAACAGTCAATGCGTTGCTGCTGCTTGTGGTGCAGTCGCTGTTGCAACGCATACATTGAGCCCTGACATTTCACTGGCTAGCTAGTTATGCATTACATTTACATTTTAGTCATTTAGCAGACGCTCTTATCCAGAGCGACTTACAGTTAGTGAGTGCATACATTTTTCATACTGGCCCCCCGTGGGAATCGAACCCACAACCCTGGTGTTGCAAGCGCCATGCTCTACCAACTGAGCTACAGGAGGCCCATAGTAGCTATGCATCATCATATGGTTGTGCAACTGTAACATGCTGAAGTCAATGGTTGAGACGCATTTAAGCCAGTCACCATCGCGCACACCACCTGGCCATGACCACACTGATAGGACTGTATTTGTCAAAATGCTGCTATACACCCAAATGTCAAAGCTACGCTAACTAGCTAATGGCTGACGTTGCTCCCTCCCTCAGTCCCTGCAAAAAACAAGGTAAGTTAGCTAGCTAGCTGCGTTGGCAAAGACAGTGGACTTTCCCCATGGGTTTGCTGATATGGTGTACTGAGTCAAATGTCTGCATCATTGCAACGTCCAAATCCATACAAACCCCACAACATCCCCACGGCTAAGCAACGATGCTAACGCTAGCCCAAGTGGACTAAAAGGAGCCTAGCGTTACTCCTTTGTCCAAGGACCTTAGCTACATGTTCTGTTTAAAGGGCGAAATATTCAATCTAAACGTGAATCGATTCTCAATTGCGGTAACGTTACGGTTCTTGAAATAAATCATTCTACTTTCATATCACATCAAAATAATTTCACTAATGCAGAAAAAATACACACTTACTGTACACTGGTTTTAACACACAACCGTATTTTTCAGTGACAACACGTTCGTGGCGTCTGTCTTCCGTTTGCACACAGCAGGCGTTTTCGGGGGGCGCAGATAGCTAATTAGCACAGGTAGTCCACTCTGTCTTCCGACCTGTTTTCCGTAAACAAGCGATGTGAAATGGAAATATGGTGGTGTGGGAACATTAGCCCTATAAAGCTGTGTATCAATTTAACCTTTTGTTTTTTGAAAATGATTGATCACTGATATGAAAGATAAGGTCCTTACGCTTCCAAAAACGTATCACAAGCGATGCTTGTTAATGTTCAGACCGAGCGTCACGGCTCTTAACAAAACTCCCTCTACAGAATACGCCTTCATCCAATGATTTAGCTACAGTATGTCTAATGTAATGGAACTCAAGAGTCATGATGATCAAGTCAAGTGCTAACTAACGGCTAGCCAAGCTCAAATGTCGGTTATTAAAACTAGCTAGCTACTGATTAGTATTGAGCTACACACAAAATAACCATCTTCAACCTCACATTTTCAAAATAATTTCATATACAGACGATTGATGTGCCAGTATCTTCCAATTTCAAGTCTTAATTGATTTGCTTTTCCCATTGAGCTGTTAGCTATGGCACAGCGCTAAGAGCTAACTAGTTTGTTGTCATGCTGACGTCATGTATACTACGGAACCCCGCGAGGTACGCTTCAGTAAAAAAAAAAGTTGTAGGTTACTGAATGGTTGCGCTATCCAGAGACCTTGGGACGTCAACCTTACCTTAACCAAGTAAGACCAAGGAGCTGATCGTGGACTACAGAAAACGGGGGGCGAGCACGCCCCCACCCACATCGACGGGCTGCAGTGGAGTGGGTCGAGAGCTTCAAGTTCCTTGGTGTCCAAATCACTAAGAACTTAAAATGTTCCATGTGCACAGTCTTGAAGAAGGCGCGACAGTGTCTCTTCCCCCTCAGGAGGTTGAAAACAAAGATATTAATAACGAACCCCCTTCTGTCTGTGTTGAAAAGGTTTGGCATGGGCCCTCAAAAAGTTCTACAGCTGTACAATTGAGAGCATCTTGACTGGCTACGTCACTGCTTGGTATGGCAAGAGCACCGCCCTCGAGCACATGGCGCAATAGAGGGAGGGTCTACTTCTTCTTCTTCTATGATATAAGGCGGTCCGCAAACAAACGTTAAAGGTGCATGCCGCCACCCACTGCGCTGGAGTGTGTGGTCAATCATTGTTTACAACATTTCTAAATCCTCCTACTCAACTCAGTCCCTCTGAGGGAGGGTTTATCCTACGTGTTCTACAGATATACTAAATATTCTATCCAGTATCACATACTGTCCATAATGTCTATACATCCCATTACATATATATCTTTATACTCCGGACCCCGACATTGCTTGTCCTAATATTTACATATTTCTAAAGTCCATTATTTTACTTTTAGATTTGTGTGTAATGTTGTGAATTGTTAGATATTAAGCACTGTTGGAGCTAGGAACACAAGCATTTCGCTACACCCGCAATAACATCTGCTAAATATGTGTAGGCAACCAATCAAATTTGATTTGATTGGATCACTGGGGCTGAGCTCCCTGCCATCCAAATAAAATCTAATCAAATTTGATTTGTCACATACACGTGTTTAGCAGATGTTATAGCGGGTGTAGCGAAATGCTTATACTTCTAGCTCCGACAGTGCAGTAATATCTAACAATTACACAACATATACCCAATACACACAAAAAAGTAAGGAATGGGATTTAAGAATATATACATATATGGACAAGCAATGACAGAGCGGCATGGACTAAGATACAGATGAATATTATATACATATGAGATGAGTAGTGCAAGATATGTAAACATTATTAAGGTGTCTTGGAGGGCGGGTAGTTTGCCCCCGGTAATGCGTTCGACAGACCGCACCATTAAATAAATAAATAAATAACATCTGGAGAGCCCTGCGGTTGTGGGCAGTGCAGTTGCCGTACCAGGCGGTGATACAGCCCGACAGGATGCTCTCAATTGTGCATCTGTAAAAGTTTGTGAGGGTTTTAGGTGATAAGCCAAATTTCTTCAGCCTCCTGATGTTGAAGAGGCTCTGTTGCGCCTTCTTCACCACACTGTCTGCGTGGGTGGACCATTTCAGTTTGTCGGTGATGTGTACGCCAAGGAACATCCAGGAACTCTATATCAGGCGGTGTGAAAGGAAGGCCTGGAAAATCCTTGAAGACTCCAACCACCCAAGCCATAGACTGTTCTCTCTGCTTCCGCACGGCAAGCTGTACTGTTGCATCAAGTCTGACATCAACAGGCTCCTGAACAGCTTCTATCCATGCCATAAGACTGCTAAATAGCTTAATAAATAGCTAACAAAATGGCTACACGGACTATCTGAGTTGACCTTTGTATTTTTGTATTTTTTTTTGCTCTCTCTATGCACACTCACAGGGCCCTACACATTAAGCACACTGATATTACAACACACATACAAACACTCACTCCATAATTTGCTTACACACACATAATATGAACATACATTTATACTGACTCTACACACCCACTCACATACAATCATCATATACGCTGCTGCCACTCTGTTTGTCATATAGGGCTCCAGAGTGGCGCAGCGGTCTAAGGCACTGCATCTCAGTGCTTGAGGCGTCACTACAGACCCCCTGGTTCGATTCCAGGCTGTATCACAACCGGCCGTGATTGGGAGTCCCATAGGGCGGCGCCCAATTGGCCCAGCGTCGTCCGGGTTTGGCCGGTGTAGGCCGTCATGGTAAATAAGAATTTGTTCTTAACTGACTTGCCTAGTTAAATAAAGGTAAAATAAAAAAATAAAAAACATCCTGATACCTAGTCGCCTTTCCCTTTACATACACTATATATACAAAAGTATATGGACACCCCTTCAAATTAGTGGATTCGGCTATTTCAGCCACACTTGTGTTGACAGGTGTATGAAATCGAACACACAGACATGCAATCTCCATAGACAAACATTGGTAGTAGAATGGCCTTACTGAAGAGCTCAGTGACAATCAACATATAAACGTCATTGGATGCCACCTTTCCAACAAGTCAGTTCGTCAAATTTCTGCCCTGCTAGAGTGGAAACGTCTAGGCTCAACAACAGCTCAGCTGCAAAGTGGTAGGCCACACAAGCTCACAAAACGGGACCACCAAGTGCTAAAGCGCGTAGGGCGTAAAAATAGTTTGTCCTCAGTTGCAACACTCAGTACCAAGTTCCAAACTGCCTCTGGAAGCAACGTCAGCACAATAACTGTTCATCGGAAGCTTCAGGAAATGGGTTTCCATGGCCAAGCAGCCGCACAAAAGCCTTAGTTGACCATGCGCAATGCCAAGTGTCGACTGGAGTGGTGTCAAGCTCGCAGCCATTGGAGCAGTGGAAACACATTCTCTGGAGTGATGACTCACGTTTCACCATCTGGCAGTCCGACGGACAAATCTGGGTTTGGCGGATGCCAGGAGAACTCTACCTGCCCCAATGCATAGTGCCAACTGTAACGTTTGGTGGAGGAGGAATAATGGTCTGGGGCTGTTTTTCATGGTTCGGGCTAGGCCCTTTAGTTTCAGTGAAGGGAAATGTTAACGCTACAGCATACAATTACATTCTAGACGATTCTGTGCAACTTTGTGGCAACAGTTTGGGGAAGGCCCTTTCCTGTTTCAGTATGCACAAAGCGAGGTCCATACTGAAATGGTTTTTCAAGATCGGTGTGGAATAACTTGACTGGCCTGCACAGAGCCCTGACCTCAACCCCATCGAACACCTTTGGGATTAATTGGAATGCAGACTGCGAGCCAGGCCTAATCGCCCAACATCAGTGCCTGACCTCACTAATGCTCTTGTGGCTTAATGGAAGCAAGTCCCTGCAGCAATGTTCCAACATTTACATTTACGTCATTTAGCAGACGCTCTTATCCAGAGCGACTTACAGTTAGTGAGTGCATACATTTTCATACTGGCCCCCCGTGGGAAACGAACCCACAACCCTGGCGTTGCAAGCGCCATGCTCTACCAACTGAGCTACAGGGGACTATAGTGGAAAGCCTTCCCAGATGAGTGGAGGGGGACCAACTCCATATTAATACCCATGATTTTGGAATTAGATGTTTTGACGAGCATGTAGTGTATCCAGTATCCCTGCACAGTGTAAAAATTGTACTGGAACTGACTATGTATATAGTATGCTTACTTACTTTATCGTGTTCTTCAAATTTATTTTCTGTGTGTTTTTGTTCAATCTTATTCTTTTTATTATTACAGTATTATTGATTACTGCATTGTTGGGGCTAGAGCTTGCAAGAAAGGCATTTCACTGTACTTGTGACATTATTAAAAACTTGAAACAATTTAAAACGTCCACTTCAAATGGGGTGACATCAGAGTTGGGACGTCCCAAGGATCCCGGATAGAAGCCTACGTATCTGTCTAACATGTCATCTCAAATAATGTATGCTCATGCAATTTACAGGACTAATGCATGTAAATGATAAACGTTTTTATAATGTGTTCATTGATTCTGTATCATCAAAGTCAGGGTTGATATGATTGCCTGTCAGCAGCAACTGAGGCTCCCACGCCTAGCTTAACAAGGTTGGGCCTGACCAATCCCTGGATCCCCCTAATGTTGCTGGAAGTGCTGGATAGCCAGTATGGGGCTTTTCTGTTTGTTAAAAAGGATCTCAATGCTGGGCAGTGATTGGGGATACTGCCCTGCAAAGGATGCTGTAAACATAGAGATCACACAATGTAATTATATGGCTGTGATACTGATGAGTAGGCCTATTCTTAGGGAATAAATGGGTGATCTAGCTATAAAAGATCTATGGAGAAAAGAAGAACACTGAGGTAAAGAGCTGGAGCAAACACTAGTTAATCTGGCCTGGTAGGTTTCAATAACGCCTAATCTCTGATGCGACCTTAAAGGGAGTCATTGTCGAAGGGCAGTATTTGCTCCGACTTGTTCGAGGTCACATCGCTAGCATCGTGGCCTCATCCAGCGCTGTGCAACTAGCCCAGTCTCTCTGAGACTGTCCTTCCATGGAGAGCATACGACAGGAACGTTCTGAATGCTCCCTGGAGAACCAAATAACACGACTGCCCGGTGGGATATGTTCAAGCAGAAGAGAGGCATTCTGCATCTCCTGGAGACCCTGCTGTGTGTTATACTAATCACTGTGGTGGAACACAGCTTGGTGTGGAGCATCTTTGCCTGGTCGTTCTGCCTCCAGATCACCCCAGTGACCACCACTGCCAAGCTCTGCTTCAGGGAGTTCCTGGACAGGGATGACCTCACCGCCTGGTGCTACTGGACACCCTCCTAATCCTCTTGGCTTTGGTCATCTACGAACTGTTCTAAGTTAGTAGTGCGGGTCAGCTGTTTGTTCAGCCGCACACTCCCGCAATTGTTATTAACCCACCCGCAACCACCCGACTATATGTGATAAAGTGAACATCTGAGGCCTGCACCCAATATAGAAAATGCACTGTAGGCTACAGTAATAGACGGCATAATTTTTTTTTGACAGGGGGTGCAGGATTTGTTTTTTGCCTAATTTTATAAATGTTTCTGCTTATAATTTCCGACATTTTGGTAGGGTATTTGTTAGTCAACTTGTCTATAATTAGATACA